TGTTTAAAAGAGCAACACACAAGTTTCTTGCTTATTCTTCTTGTGATGAGACAGCTTTCCGAATAAGCGGTAGATTTAAAAAATGTTGACTATTCAAAAGTGCTTAAATTAAGTTTATTTGCATAAATGATTTTCTATTCTATTCTATTCTAAAAATCGTCTTATTTGTGCAATCAAACACCGTGCACGCTGCTCAAAGTTAATATCGAATTTGGACAATATTTTTGTGTTTGTACTTCATATCATTGTGATTTGTGCGACAGCCGTTTAGAGGTGGTCTCCGGGAGTACGAGCCCAATATATTGCATTGAAACAAGCCTTGGATGTTTTAATCAGTCAGCGAATTAACATCATATTTCGGAACCAGCGACCGCGCCCTACCGCATGGTGGTGAAACCTTATTTTCTATATTTTTCCACAATTTTCCACCACTGTCCATTATAACAAAATAGTGCTTTATTACTATAGTCATAGGGCCCACATTATCCTAATGGGCGCAGGGCCCACTAATAGGTGAAAGACGGGCCTGTGTGTACCGTTCCTCTATCAGTCATTAAATAAATTGAACAGATTTAGGATTAGGATATCCGATAACACTAAACTTTGCATAACAGCAAGTCAGCTGTCAGTCGTTCAGTCCGGGAGACATGTAACGAATCCATCAACAGTGCACCGCCCTCCGTCCTCCGCCATCGCCCGCCGCGCGCCACGCTCTTGGGCGCGTGCCAGCCACGGTAGAATTAGGGTTGCCACATAAACTAATATTATAAGTAGTAAAAATTAATGAAAATAGTTAGATGTTTGAACAGACGTCGTCTTGACTTATTTCCAAAAAACAGCAATATTCATAATATTAATACTAGATTTAAAGACAAACTTGCTGTCCCCAAGTATCGTTTAGAAAAAGTTAATAGGTCTTTTATGGGAATAGGTATAAACATTTACAATAACATACCAAAGGATATATTGGAATTACCGTTAAATAAATTCAAAACATCTGTTAAATCATATTTACTGAGCAAAGCCTATTACTCACTAAACGATTACTTGAATGACGAGCGTGCATGGCAATAGTTGTTCATGCACTGAATTTTCATTTAATGTTAGACATAGACACCTATATAAAAATACATTGTAAATAAACTGGCTTTAAAAAAAAAGTAATTCAATTGAGTTTCTTGCCAGTTCTTCTCAATTGGATCTATATACCGAACTGGACGGTCGGGAAAAAATAAAACTATAATGTAAAAATTTGACGTTCATAGCGGCTAAAATGTCCTACATGAATAAATGATTTTTGAATTTGAATTTGAATTTGACGTCTTTTATTGCAGAGCGCAGTGACAGAAGTAATATATAAATTATATAAAGAACATCATATTTTGAATATGCATAAAAAGAATACAAAAACTGCCAGTGACTCTCATTGTAGGTCTAACATAAGTTGCTAGCTGACCATCTCTATGCTCGTTTACCATTAAATTGGCCGTATGGTTGTTTGAAATAATAGTAGTATAAAAAAAACAAGCTGATCCGCGTAACTTCGTCTGCATCACACTTACTTTCGCTTAATTTACATAATATGTTTCTAAACTATAGCCTATTAGTTTAGTAAAATTTTAAATTAAACATAAAGTAAACAATTTTGGAGCAATATAAGAAAATAAGACCGCAAGTATTTGAATAAGTATATTCAGAAAGAAATTTTGATCTAAGTTGACGGAAAAAGGATGAAATAAGGGTTGAAATTCGCTTTTTTTTTTAAAGTAACACGATAACGGTAAGAAATATGAAAAAATATTTTAAATAAAAGTTGTAGAGAATAAAAATCTGCATAAAAATTGTAGAGAATCAAAGCAGTTCCTTCTCATCATTCATTTCACGAAGTACATTGCGGGTTAGCCAGTCTATACATATAAATAAAATTGGAGTGTCTGTTTGTAATATTGAAATAACCGTTTTTTACTACAGGCATATTAATATAAATTAGGCTGGCATTTCCATGCTTACTAGGTCATCCCAACACTATGTTATTGTAACTGAATTGTTTTTAAAGATATAAACATTTTTTTCATTTTTTTTTCATAAATACTGTACATACATCATTCTAACATTTTTTTCAATTCTTGTCTGTCTGTCTGTCTGTTCCGGCTAATCTCTGAAATGGCTGGATCGATTTTTACGTGACTCTTTTGTCAGATATCTGACGTAATAAGGAGTAACTTAAGCTACTTTAATTTTAGAAAAATAAAGCTAGATTCCACGCGGACGAAGTCGCGAGTGCGGCTAGTATTAAATATATTTTCTAGAATATGACTACTGGCAGCCCTGTGGAGTCGTTTACCAGGTGCGGCCGTGTACGGAGCTCCACTCGCTAATAATTTATTTACGACTCTTTTATTCTTAAAATCTGTTTATATAGATTCGCCATTATGTTTTTCATCGTATCCACTAACTATTTCGGTTCCATTAGTTAAATGATTTGTTGTGTCGGCGTACACGCTTGTAGTAAATACGGTGGGTAAATGAAATTCAAATCTATTTGTTTATATTCGCGAACTGGCTTGTTAACGGCTTATGTTTGTTTGAATACGGATGTCCTGAAAAATATTTTGCTATATTTGTTCCTATACCTGATATTTGCAAGTGTTTATAAAAAAGCCTATTATAGGATAGATGAATTTATAAATAATAGCAATATATAGCAAGTATAAGTTTATTTGCGGACAACGTTACAGTTTATTTTTCATACTGCTTTCTTGATATATGATAGCGTAGCGGCTTTTGTATTGATTGCCGCATGCATCCTCATGTAAAGTGCGAATACTGTAACTACCATATAGTAATTTTTGTAGCTGTGACGTGGTCGAGTGGAATGAGTAGTCATGCTCACTAAAATGTTCAGACATGTGGCGGCGTGGTGGGCCGGGTCATTGGGCTCCCTAAAATATGGTCAAGCGCAGTAATGGCTGGCTCATCCGTCATACTCGTGAACGAGTGCTGCTTGTAGGGACTGGTCTGCTCTTATCACTACGACTGATTTAATCTTATTGTGTTTTTATATTTGAGCCTAAATAAATTAGTGCTGGTTGATAGTTTGTATTCACACGTTTCGACTTGTAAAATGAACTTACAAGGATTGTTTAAAAGAGCAACACACAAGTTTCTTGCTTATTCTTCTTGTGATGAGACAGCTTTCCGAATAAGCGGTAGATTATAAAAAAATGTTGACTATTCAAAAGTGCTTAAATTTAGTTTAATTGAATAAATGATTTTCTATTCTATTCTATTCTATTTTAATCTTGTGTGTTTTTTGGTAATGGAGGTGTATTTTGGCGGGACACCTGTTGCAAACTGTGCAGTCTGCACATATCTCATCTAAATACATATAACTCAAAGGTGACTGACTGACATAGTGATCTATCAACGCATAGCCCAAACCACTGGACGGATCGGGCTGAAATTTGGCATGCAGGTAGATGTTATGACGTAGGCATTCGCTAAGAAAGGATTTTATTTAATTCTACCCCCAAAGGGATAAATTAGGGGATGAAATTTTATAGGAAACTTTGTCAATTTTAAACCGATCGGGCTGAGACTTTGCATGCATAAAGCTACTATGACGTAGGCATCCCCTAAGAAAGTATTTTAATTAATTCCACCACTAAGGGGATAAATTAACGCGAACGAAGCCGCGGGCAAAAGCTAGTAAGATTATAAAATGTGGCTTAGAGAAAAACATCTGCTTATAGAAGTTACCTACTAAAGACGTGCTCGGTACTACTAGATATAAATACGGTATATACATATAAATATATTAGCTATACATGTAAATAAAATTGGAGTGTCTGTTTGTAATATTGAAATGACCGTTTTTTACTACATGCATATGAATATAAATACGGTACTACACCAAAATATTATTTTTTACAATTTTTGGCTGTCTGTCTGTTTGATCCGGTCAATCTCTGAAATGGCTGGACCGATTTTGATGGAACTTTTTTTGGCAGGTAGCTGATGTAATAAGGCGTAACTTAGGCTGCTTTTATTTTAGTAAAATAAAGTTAAACTCCACGCGGACGAAGTCGCGTGTACAGCTGGTAGTATATGTAAATACTGATGTATTCTTGGTTTAGCAACATGGTTAATGTAAATATTACAGGCGCTCGCGATCTGCTTCATTCATTCGCGAGTTGTTTATTCCAGTCTCCCGACTTCCGGCGTAGAAGTAAAGTGAATTGTAGGTTAATCCGCGTAACAAAGAAGTAGTTAAGAAGATTCTTAGAAAACTACTACGGCCAACAAAAGAGTTAGAGAAATCATCACCATCTCGGCCCGGAAGACGTGCTGATGAACAAAGGCCTCCCTCAAGGATTTCCACGACGAACGGTCCTGCGCTGCTCCCATCCAGTTAGAAAAATAATGTTAAGAAATTCCTTAAAAAACTGCTTGTGGAATGAACTACCTGCCGAGGTTTTCTCGAGACTACAGCACGGAGTTTTTCAAAAACACGTGCTACCTTTTACCATCGCACCACCACACCATACCACAAGGTGATAATATAGTCCCCTTGGGGGTAGAATTAATCAAAATCCTTTCTTAGCGGATGCCTACGTCATAACATCTACCTGCATGCCAAATTTCAGCCCGATCTGTCCAGTGGTTTGGGCTGTGTGTTGATAGATCACTACGTCAGTCACCTTTGAGTTATATATATTTAGATATAACACAGCGACATATAATGTAAATTAAACAGTGTCAATGTTTGTAACCAAACAACTCCGAAACGGCATAACCGATTGCGACTGTGTGGAAATCTGTATCGTATTTTTTTTGTTTTATATATCCTTATAGGAAAGGCAAAGAGTCTGAGCTCATACAGCCGTTGTGCATCGCATTATCCTAACAGTTTTTTTTTATATATATTCTTATAGGAAAGGCAAAGAGTCTGAGCCCATACAGCCGTTGTGCATCGCATTATCCTAATAATATTCTGGCAGGTGGTGGAGGACCGGGTGGCAGCGTGCCTGCACCTAGTGCAACGGCAGCACTGAATGCTGCAGTCAGCTCCAACTACCCTGGACTTAGCATCAGCTCCATCGTGCCACTGCCGCCCACAGTGAACGGTTAGTGAGATACTGTATTTAAATAAAAAGCAAATTTGCGCTACATTGTTAATTTTCTTTCCCGCCATTTTATAATACAGACTATGTTTCTATAAAATGCACAGACTATGTTTTTAATTGTACTGTATTTAAATAAAAAGGGAATTCGCGCTACACATTCATTTGGCCTTTCCCGCCATTTTACAATACAGACTCCGCTTCTATAAAATGCACAGAGTACGTTACAACAACAGTACAATTTAAAAGCTAGACCCAAAATATGTTGTTTGCAGGTCCCACCCTGTCGCACCCTAACGACTGCCAGGTGAGCCCGTGGAGCGGGTGGAGCCGATGCAGCGTCTCCTGCGGAGTTGGATACCAGGAGCAGACGCGTACCCTGATCGTAAGTATTCATACATAGGTTGATAATATATAGACAGATATATATATATATATATATATATATATGTAAACACGGAACATACACCAAAATAACATTTACTAAAATTTTTGTCTGTCTGTTTGTTCCGGCTAATCTCTGAAATGGCTGGATCGATTTTGACGGGACTTTTATTGGCAGATAGCTGATGTAATAAAGAGTAACTTAATCGGACGAAGTCGCGTGTACAGCTAGTTTATAATACAAAGCATCCATTGGAAAAAACAAGCTTTAGTTTGAATTTCTAGAGGGTATACGTAGTATATTACATACTAGCTGTTCCCGCGACATCGTCCGCGTGGTATTTAACTTTATTTTTCTAAAATAAAAGTACCTAAAGAACTAAAAATTATTTTGTTCGTCTTAATTTATTCATTCCATTAGGTACTGATAGGTTCAAACTGATATATTTACATCCTGCATCATCCCTTATTTTATCCCCATGGGGGTTGAATTTATCAAAATCCTATTTAAGCAAACGTCTTCATCATAGTACCTCCAATCTTTAATTTCAGTTCAATCAGTCAAAAATCTAAGACGATTTATACAAACTTTCATCCCCTATTTTATCCCCTTAGGGGTGGAATTTATCAAAATCCTTTGTTAGGGGATGCCTACGTCATAGTAGCTTTAAGCATGCAAAATCTCAGCCTGATCGGTTTAAAATTGACAAAGTTTCATACAAACTGTCATCCCCTATTTTATCCACTTGGGGGTAGAATTAATCAAAATCCTTTCTTAGCGGATGCCTACGTCATAACATACCTGCAAGCCAAATTTCATCCCGATCCGTCCAGTGATTTGAGCGTTGATAGATCACTATGTCAGTCAGTCACCTTTGAGTTATATATATTTAGATTTATAATACTTTAGTTTTCATTTCCAGATTATAGTATATTATACAAAAGTATATATATGATACAAAAGGTAAATATTTCAGCTGTATTTATTGATGAGTCAGTCTGACATATACTGGTAAACTCTATAAATCAATGATACAAGTATATTGACTTTACGATACAGTTGCTCATTGTTCCGACCATATCTATTGTGACAATCTGTGTACATCACATCAATATTTCATTCTGTAAATGTCGATTACATTCACTGGCCCAGTCATGAGTTCCTTACATATAGGGTTGCCATTTATTATTAAAAGAAATAGATTTTATATTGACGACCTCGGTGGTCTAGCGGTCTAGCACACCGGTTTACGGTTCGATTCCTCGCACGCCACATACTTTTGTATTCATGTGTATGATTGTTTGTATCGGTCTGGGTGTTTTCTATGTATAATATATATGTATTAAAAAAATATATCTATGTATATGTATCAGTTATCTAGTACCCATAACACAAACTTTCGTTAGCTTAACTTGGGTTTAGATGGCGCTGTGTGAATCGTCCTGAGATTATTGTTATTATATAAAAAAGAGTATATTGTACATTAACATAATAATATTAGTGGCTTCACGTACAATCTTATTTCAAAAGAATTCGAGCTAAGTTTCTTGTCAGTTCTTCTCATCTTGAATATCATTCCGAACTGACGGTAGATTTGACATATTATAAGAGTCTGTAATAGACCTACATGAATAAAGATAGTTTGAATTTGAATTTAGAAACGTCGTTATGTGGCTTGAGGAAATGGATATACCAACATATTAATAGCTGTACGGACTCCAGTCCGGCGAACTGACGATGTCCATGGATCGCTGGCTCAGATCCGGCTCGAAGGACCAATAATGAATATGGACTGTAACTTCGTATAATAATTGAAATAGTAATACAAATGGAATTAAATAGAGTATTGAGCGCGCGTGTCGTATTCGGTGGCGAGATCAGAAGTGAGGGCCGGTCCGCGCGGTGCTATTCGCACCCTCCTCCAGCCGCGCCCCGCATCATTGCTCGCGGACTCCAGTCCGGCGAACCGACAATGTCCTAACACAGTAAACTGTCGATTTTTTTGATTCTGGTAAAGCATTTCCATATGACTGGTCCTATTATAGTGACTATTGTGTAAAAACAGTACTTTACTATACTTTATTAATGTTATAAAGTACGCCTACATGATACAGTACAATACTATATTTTAGAGTACGGTTGGCAACCCTACTTACATATACTATATGACAGAAACCAATGTTATTCTCAGACAAACCAGGGTTGGCAAACTTAAAACTATTTATTCTGGTAAGGGAATCTTGTAAATTACAATTAAATAAATTACCATTGACAACCCTGAGCTGTAGATCCACATTGCTACTATCAATTTTGAACACGATCATCTTGTTTCGTACATCAACAAACACACACCTGCTTCGCAACTTTAAATTGTATTTGTGTATTGGTTTTCAAAAACATAAGTACAATATCAATAAATAATAAATTCAAATTCAAATTCAAAAATCATTTATTCGTGTAGGACATTTTAGCAGCTTATGAACGTCAAGTTTTTTACGATATAATTTTAATTTTTTCCCTACCGTCCAGTTCGGTATATAGATCCAATTGAGAAGAACTGGGAAGAAACTCAATTGAATTACTTTTTTTTATTAAAAGCCACTTTATTAGTACCTAATCAAGAAACAGACTAACATTCTCACATTGCCTGCTAGTATTTCAATCCCAGACTAATATTATCAAATCAAATCACAATAGCTTCATTCATGTAGGTCTATTACAGACAAACTCCTTGAAAACAGAATACGAGCTGAGTTTCTTGTCAGTTCTTCTCATTTCGAAATCATTCCGAACTGACGGTAGATTTGACATATCATAAGAGTCTGTAATAGACCTACATGAATAGAGATATTTTGAATTTGATTTAAAGAAAAAACATGGTTATCCTTTACATAATATAAAATAAAGTCGATTTCGTTGTCCGTTCGCTTAGATCTTTTAAACAACGCACCAGATTTTAATGTAGGTTTTAGTTATAGAGGTAGTTTATATGTATACCCATGTGAAACCAGGGCGGGTATCTAGTATAGTATAATTTTTATAAATCAGTACTGATACGTAACTAATAAGTACTTAATCTTTCCATCCGTCGTCGATGGTCGTGTGTTCGATTCCTCGCTCAGTGAAAACATTTGTATTCATGAGTATGATCGTTTGTATCGGTCTGGATGTTTTCTATGTATATTACGTATGTTAAATACATACTGTACAAAAAAAATATCTAAGTATTTGTATCAGTTATCTAGTACCCATAACAGAAGTTCTGCTTACCGTGGGACTAGATGGCGTTGTATTAATTGTCCAGGGTCATTATTTAGGGTTATTTAATGTAAGAAAATGTATTGGTAATTTGAAATTTGGCAGCAATTATTATGAATGTATAATTATAACTTACCTGCCGGTCGAGTGGTAATAATATAGTATGTATATTATTATATTACGCTGTAGTAATGTATGAAGTAATGTGACGTACCTGAAAACAATGAAATTATATGTTGAATAATACAATAAGTTGAAAAAGAAATTATTACAATCCTTACTAATATATATATATTATTATAGTATTATAAATGCGAATGTAACTCTGTCTGTCTCGCTTTCACGCCAAAACTACTGAACCGATTCAAATGAAATTTAGTATACAGATAGTCTAGACCCTGAGAAAGGACATAGGCTACTTTTTAAGACGAAAAAAGGGTTGTAAGGGATTGAAAGGGAATCTTCATTTTTAAAGCTAGAAGCTTGAAATTTAATTTTTAGACTGTTGATTGCAAATAAATATGATATTCAAAACTTGTATAAATTTTACCGTTAAGGGGGTGAAATGAAATAGGGGATGCAATGAAAATTCCTCATTCGTCATCTATTCCATGCGGACGAATTCGCGGGCACAGATAGTAAATAATAAATAAATAATTAATCTGACTAACATGCCGAACTGACGGTAGATTTGACATATCATAAGAGTCTGTAATAGACCTACATGAATAAAGATATTTTGAATTTAAATAGACAGATAGATAACAATTCCCCTTCCCTCCGGACCGCGAAAGCGTTAAGACGTGTACACTTTTTGATATTTATTTATTTTTTCCTCTGTTAAACAAATCCAATAATCATCGCAAAGTACCAGGCAAACATAATAAACAAGAACTATAGCTGTATCTGCGGAATGCAGTGCGAAGAGATCAGCAACAGTTGAGACGGAGATAACATTGCAAGCTACGTTGCATTTGCGACGCATTCTTCGTGCATCACTTGTCGGCCGCTTAAACTATAAGCGCCAGCGATTTAGACATTAATCAAAATGCCTATAAATCATTCGCCACCTCCGCCTACCACGACTACCATGTTAAATTGTCCTGTTCTTCAGCACAGTTCTTCTGAACCTAACATCACTAATAGACATACTACCAGTACTGATTGCGAATTACCAAACAGAACACTTCGTGTAAAACGTAAATGTTCTGATTCAAGATCTGATCAAGATAGTGAATTATCTACTTTTATGTTGGAAATGAAGACTATGATCGCAGACTTCAAAGAACAACAAAACAAAAATATAAAAAAATTAAATGAAACTGTAGAAACAATAGCAGAATTTAAAAAGCAACAAAACAAAAATATGGAAAAATTGAATGAAAGTGTAGAAACAATTAGGATACAAAATAGTGATATTCAATTATCCTTAACCTTCTTATCTCAAAGTTATGATACCTTAAAAAATCAAATGGACGAACTTCAGGCTGACCGTAATAATAACTTGATATACATACAAGAATTGGAGGAAAAGCTTGAGAAAATGGAACGGGCATCCAGATCAACATGCGTAGAACTTAGAAATATACCTGTACACAAACCAGAATCTAAGCAGCAACTTTTGAATACTATTATAAAAACCGGAGATATAATTAATGTTCCTATTCAACCTTACGACCTAAAAAATGTTTTTCGTATAGGAACAAAAAATCCAGCAAATAAGACCGTCATTGTTGATTTCA